TCTCTCTCTCTCTCTCTCTCTCTCTCTCTCCCCGAGGTCTCTCCTCTCTTAATACCTCTGCTTTAACACCATCCATCCACGCACAACACTCACCAAGCTCGCACCATTAGACTTGGCCAATCAACTCGAGTATACAAGGTTGACTAAGTACCAGAAAGTCCCGCTATGACACTCGGATAGACAATGCACATGCAAAATGGAAAGTCACATTAGTCTTGGCCAATCAACTCGAGTGTACAAGATTGATGGAAACTCGCAATAGACTTGGCCAGTCAATTTAAGTATACAAGATTAACCAAGTACCCGAAAGTGCGGCTACGATGGCCGAACAGCACTCTCAGGTGTGGTCGCTCTCCCTCAGCTTTGCCTTCTCTCTCTCTCACTCGGTCCGAGGTATCTCTCCTATCTGAATACCTCTCTCATCTATCTCCCACACTTCCACTGCGCTTGATCTGGCTATGGCTACTTCCTATGCATTGCCACCAATATAGCACTCCACAGTATCTCCAAGTAGCACAGCGGCACTTAGGCATGGACTCCCCTGTGAATAGCTGTTGACGGATTCCCCAGGTGAGTCTACTTGCTGACCCGCCTTGCAGATTCCTTCCATAGGTTTATGGGTTGGTCCCTTTGCCTTGGTCTGTTGCTTCCGGAACATTGTCGAATTTCCTCGGACTTGGCTGCTTGAGTGGACCAACTGACACTTAGCCTAACGCTTTCTGCTCTCTGCTTAAACCACCAGTACATGGCCCTAGGAAACCGGAGAACCTGTTTTGAGCCTCTCCGAAATTTTGGAGGCTCCCGTGTTGTCGATATAATAAATCGACGGCGGTGGCCTCCGGAAGGGGCCTGCCGCCAATGGCTAGCATGTACTTGTTGTTTCCGCCTACTGGTGCTCCGACCCATAACTGTTATCGGCCAGGGACTTCCTACCACAACTTACTTAAAGCTAGCCCACCTAGGCATCTACAATCATTGTACATACGAAAGCTACTCTCTCTAGACATTCGTACTATTGTACACACGACTGGACTATCCTACCCAAAGAGTTGTGAATACTGTACACGCGGCTACAGCCGTCAGTTGAACAAGGAGGGGACTTGGGACTGGGACTTGGGACTGGGACCTGGGACTAGAACTGAGGGCTGGGACCTGGGACTGGGAGTCAAGACTGGGATGAAGGCTGCAGCAGTGGAATCCTTTCACACTGATCTGCCCCTTCTTTTCTTTTATCCGATACCGGCAGCTCTCTCCTGCGCTCAGCTCTTAACCCCATCTCCATAATTATTTCCTGAGCATCTTCATAGTAACTGTCGAAGCTATTACAAAAAAACAAGAAAAAAGTTAATCATCGAAGTTCCTCCCAGTCCACACCAGTGACCGACAGGAAGAGCCTGTGGCCAGACTGACTCCTACCTGTCTATTGTCCATAGTCGTCGTGACTCAGAGACTCAAGCAGCAGCACGCCAATGAAAATTAGGGAAAAAAAGTACCAGGCCTTGACATTCAGAAGCAAGCAGGCCGTGGGCATGTGGTACCAGCACCAAGTCAAGCGACAACAAGCAGGGGCTGGGACGAGTTGAAGCTCAGTCAAAGTCAATATAAGGACTCGCCAGCCACAGTTTGGACAGATTGCTCATTCGTGAGAAGTGTGGAACTGCTGCTGAAGCGCTTGTGCGCTATCCGCGAATAGCATCCGCGCGAGAGCCCTGCTGGGTAGCGCTGCACTGAGAGGGAAGGCAGCCATAGCCGCATAAGTTAGTAGTAGGGATAGAGCTGAGTAGCAGCAGATGTATTCAGACTCAAGATTCTCAAGCAGAGAGAGAGAGAGAGAGAGAGAGAGAGAGAGAGAGAGAGAGAGAGAGAGAGAGAGAGAGAGAGAGAGAGAGAGAGAGAGAGA